CAGCCATCAAGAAGAAAACAGGCATGCATTTTACATGGAAATGTTCCAAGCCGTGTACCATGCAATATTTTTAGCACAAGATATCAATAAAGATGATCTGTCTTTCAAAACAGTCAGTCTCTTTATTTTCCTGTTTATACTTCAATCTTTTCAATGGGAATCAAAGTGAACCTGTGCCAAGACTATGCATACTACAGTATTTACATATCCTAAACATGTACTAAAAGCATTTTAACCGCTTTCCCGCCGCCCTATAGCAGAATATAGCACTTATATATACACATGATTTTGCATTGTGGAAGACGGATGCTGGCACCAGCCGGCAGACATGGCCGGGGGACAAAGCAGGAGGACCTCGCAGGATTGTGGGACAAGGTAAGGTTCGAGGGATCGCTGCAGTGTAATCCCAAGTGTTGCTTAGGGTTAATGCTTTAGGTACTGAAATTAACCCTGAGCCACACTGGGGATTACTGCCAGGAAGGTTAAAACAAAACACAAAAACCCCCAAAAAAAAAAAAAAAAAAAAAAAAGCATTTTTCTAAGTTTTGGCTATAAAACTTTGCAGTTAAATAAGAATGTACAGTGCTCTGCATAATTGAGTACACCCTAACACATTTGTCAGAGAACCTTTAATTTCCTTTCAGAATCAACATTTTCTATGGGACGCTATACTACAAAATACTCCCTTAAATGGGGGCCATTGATTGTCAAGACGATTTGTTAATTTGCACACACAAAAATATTTTTCCTACCAAATTAATTCAGACCATGTTGCAAAAATGAATACACCCCAATGAAAGTAAAGCAGACCATACATGGGTCAAATTCCAAACAAATTTTCTTTAGAAAATTGGAAATTTTGTGCATTTTGTAATCAGATGGTGCCACTGTTGGTTTTGAAGTTCGACCAACCAAGCCTTTAATATAACCTCATATTGCTACAGAAATAGATTTTCGTGGCCCAGAATTTTCTTTTCTCTCCAGGTCACAGCTCCTGCTCATTTCTTTTTCGATTACATTTCCCGCATGACTCTCCCATCATTGATTAGAAATGAATCCATTTTTCAAAACATTTCCAACATGCCGATCACTCAAATTTGATGGTTGCTCGAAAATTGGCTGTTGCTGTGGCCACTAATGGTGCAAAACTAGAAAGAAAAGTCTTTCGAAATTCGACCCATGTTTGGCCGGCTTTAGGAGCAAAGCTAAAGTTTAGATAACAAAATCCTAATTCATTACAGGTAAGTCTAATTATTCATTAAACAGGTGTCCAGCAGACAGTTGATTATAAAAGGACGTTATTTAAAGAAAACCCTTCCCATTTCATGTCAGCAATGACACCACATGGAAGAGAAATATCACAAGGCCTGAGAAAGAAAATTTCTTTACATAAAAAAGGTGAGGGCTACAGGAAGAGCAAAGCTTTACTTATCAGTCAGAATACTGTAGCAAAAAAATTTAACAAAGATTGCACTGCAACCAACTCACAGAGACATCCAGGCTGTCCATGGAAGTTAACACCTTGAAAAGGAGTGTCTTCCTAATGAGAAGGGTTGAAGAAAAATAGCCATGCAAGTTCACTGCAGTTAGCTAAAGTAGAAAGACAAACTGGGGTGATTGTTTATCGTGACACAATATGGCATACACTGCAGAGGAATAACATGCATGGGTGTCATCCACGAAGGAAGCCTCTCCTAAAGTCCATACAGAAAAAAGCCCACCTAGAATTTGCCAGAGCCTATGCTGAAAAAGAAGACTTCTGGGACTTTGTACTCCGGAGTGATGACACCAAGATAAATGTTTTTGGATGGCTTCAAAACTGTATGGTATTGCAAAGGTGAGGAGTACAAAGAAAAATGCATGGTGCCTACAGTGTAACATGGTGGTGGCAGTGTTCTATGGGGCTGCATGAGTGCTGCTGCTGTTTGGGGAGCTTCATTTCATTGAAGGTATCAAATTCACAGATGTACTGCTCTATACTGAAAGAAAAGAAGCTACCATCACTCCCGTGCCCTTGGACGTCGTGCCCTTTTCCAACATGACAATGATCCAAAACAAATCTAAGGCCGCTGTTGCATTTCTAAAGAACAGGGTGAAAGTGATTCAGTGGCCAAGTATGTCTCCAGATTTGAACCCAATCGAGCACCTATGGGGAATTCAGAAGAGACAAGTTGAGCATCACTCTCCATCCAGCATCCAGGCTCTAAAAGAGGTCGTTCTTGAAGAATGGCAAAAGCAAATGTTGCAATATGTTGCTAACTTGTTCATTCCAGGTCTAAAAGGCTTCGTGCTGTCCTTACAAATCATGGAGGTCATACAAAATACTAGATGCAGTTTTGTTGTGGGGTGTATTCATTTTTGAATTAACTAATTTGAGTAAAACTGAAGATTTTATAATCCAAGTTATATGTTAACCTTACTTTCATGTAATGAGGTAAACAAATGTTCTATAAAACTCAGTTTTGTTAAAATTTTGGAAATTGTTCTTGTGTTCATTGAGATATTGATTAAAATCTTACCTTTCAAAAGGGGTGTACTCGTTTATGCTGAGCACTGTATTATGAGTTTTTTTTTTTAAATTGTAATTTCTCCCCCAAAATTTAATAATATTTTTTCCCGCAAAGTTGGCATTTTAACAAATTAAATCTCACACACGGCACAGACACACTTATAATTACACCCCAGAAAACATTCTGCTACTCCTCAAGAGCATTGTCTCTCGCTCTACTTTCACTTTCTGGGCTTAAAAATGTGATACAATGATCACTGGGCTTGTGTGTGCACACTCTTTGAGCCATCAATTGTGAAGGACATACGGGTACATATATGGTGTGTATTATCTATCCACACACACACACAAATATTGCCAATATTGCCAAAAGTATTGGGATGCCTGCCTGTACACATACATGAACTTTATTGGCATCCCAGTCTTAGTCCGTACGGTTCAATATTGAGTTGGCCCACCCTTTGCAGCTATAACAGCTTTACCTCTTCTGGGAAGGCTGTCCACAAGGTTTAGGGGTGTGTCTATGGGAATCTCTCTTCCAGAATCGCATTAGTGAGGTCGGGCACTGATGTCGGACAAAAAGGTATGGCTCGCAGACTCCACTCTAATTCATCCCAAAGGTGTTCTGTCAGGTTGAGGTCAGGAGAGACTGTGCAGGCCAGTCAAGTTCCTCCACCCCAAACTCGCTCATCCATGTCTTTATGGACCTTGCTTTGTGCACTGGTGCACAGTCATGTTGGAACAGGCAGGAGGCCATCTCCAAACTGTTCCCACAAAGCTGGGAGAATGAAATTGTCCAAAATGTCTTGGTATGTTGATGCCTTAAGAGTTCCCTTCACTGGATCTAAGGGGTCAAATCCAACCCCTGAAAAACAACCCCACAACATAATCCCCCCTCCACCAGCTTTACGCTTGGCACAATGCAGTCAGGCAAGTACCGTTCTCCCACCAAACCCAGACACGTCCATCAGACTGCCAGACAGAGAAACAAGATTGGTCACTCCAGAGAACACTTCTCCACTGTTCTAGAGTCCAGTGGCGGCGTGCTTTACACCACTAAATCCGGCGCTTTGAATTGCACATGGTGATGTAAGGCTTGGATGTAGCTGCTCGGCCATGAAAACCCATTCCATGAAGCTCTCTATGTACTGTTGTGCTAATCTGAAGGCCACACAAAATTTGGAGGTCCTTAGTTATTGACTCTGCAGACAGTTGGCGACTTCTGCAAACTGTTCGCTTCAGCATGCGCTGACCCCATTTTCTCATTTTACGTAGCCAGCCACTTCGTGTTGTTCCCAGTTGCTTCCACTTTTTTTTTTATAATGCCACTAACAATTAACCGTGGACTATTTAGGAGCAAAGAAATTTCATGGATGGAATTATTGCACAGGTGGCAACCTATCACGGTACCACACTTGAATTCACTCCTAAGAGTGACCCATTCTTTCACAAATGGTTGAAGAATCAGTCAGCATGCCTAGGTGCTTGATTTTTTACACCTGTGGCCATGGATGTGATTGGAGCACCTGAATCAAATGATTTGGAGGGGTGTCCCAGTACTTCTGGCAATTTAGTGTGTGTGTAATTTATTTTTTTTATTACAGGTACTTATATAGCACTGTCAATTTACACAGCGCTTTACATATATACAGTATAGTACATTCACATCAGTCCCTAACCCTCAAAGGGCATACCATATAAAGTCCCTAACTCACATTCATACATACACATACTAGAGCCAATTTGGACAGGATCCAATTAACCTACCAGCATGTCTTTGGAGTGTTGAAGGAAACTGGAGTGCCCGGAGGAAACCCATATAGATATATATATATATATATATATATATATATATATCTCTATCTGGACAGGAAGTAGTTGAAACAGGCTCTTATTTACTGCTGTAGCTGTAGGCATTGTGGAGAAAATTTCACAACAGAAGCACTGATTACATCACCTTTCCTCTTTACTTCATAAGGAAACCAGTATCTTAGCAGTCTGCAAGCCCTCTAATGTAAAAACACATAGCAGGTGTTTCTAGGCTTTTAGAAACCAACTGTAGTCTTTTTTTTTTTTATGTTTCAGAATTACTTTACAGTACATGCAACTACAGGGGTAATGGATACTTTGTTTAAAAGCTTTTACTGCTTAAGAATATGTAAACACTTTACTGTCCATAGTTTGGGCACAGGTGCACTTTAACTTTTTGCTCCAAGGTACCATATAATATTTTCCTGCGTGCAAGACAAATATGCTGACTAAACTGACTTGACTAAAAATAAAAAAAAAGGGGCTGTAATGTATACAAGTGTCTTTCTGACCCAAAGCGCCTAATCAGATTTTCCTTTTGGTCTAGCCTGTTCAAGAAATGAAGGGAATCTTAATGGTTGTTATAAAAGGCACACAAACTAATTCACTGGACACTTCTGTGTATGAGACTCAGCATGTGACAATAATAAAACCATTTTTACAATAAATTTAACTTACCAACTTATTTGGAAATTTTTTGCTTGTACATAGACATCATTCTTTGACGAAAAGCATCAAAGTTGTCATCTCTGGACTGAGCGGGTTCTTTTAATTCAGTACCCAGGCCCTCCCCAGCAGAGACTGTACCCCTGAGAAAGGTAACAAACAGTTATTAATGTTAAATCATTATTCTTGATGTATAACTAGCCACTGTTTCTTCAATATAATCCATATGCAAATTGAAAACAAAGATGCTTAGAAAAATTCAGATTTTTGCATAGGGATGATTCCATTGAATGGTGGAAATCAATGTCCACAAGGACTAGCCCTTTACATAACTGCAGCACCGGTTTTATTGTTAGTTTGCTGGGAATAATAGGATATTTGTACTCACCAAAACATTTCTTTCTTGGAGTGCACTGAAGGACACAGGAAACCATGTACTGTTGTTGTGTTATACTGCTGTAAACAGGATGATTGGACATAAGCAAAAAAAAAAAAAAAAAAAAAAAAAAAAATAATAATAATAATGAGGCCAACCCAGGATAGGCATGCCTCCGTTTCATAGCAGAGCAGTACCAAGACCATGATCAGACACAGATTGTGTCCCTCAATGGACACCAAGAAAATTATTTTACGGTAAATACAAAAATGTTTTCTCTCATACAGAGAGGGACATAGGAAGTCTTGTACTGCAGGGATGTCCAAGAGTAGTCCAGGAGAAGAGTGGGCAACAGCAAACACAACAGGCATAACAGAGGCTGACAAAAACAACTACCGGTAACTAGGGGCTTTCTACAGCTCAAAAAGCTGTCTCAATGACTTTACACCCAAAGCTGGTACGACATGAAGCCTGAAAAACTGAGAACACTGAATATGTGAACAGAAGACCAGGTGGCAGCCTTAAAAATCCAAGAAACAGTTGCCTGATGCCAAACAGCCCTAGAGTCACTTACAGATCTAGTAGAGTGTGCCTTGACAAAATGGTGGAATCAGAAGATGGTTCACCATCAAGAATGGCAAACAGTCAGTCTTTCTAAAACAAGTCGTGGCTGTGCAATAAACTCTGAGCTACATCCAGGCAATGAAGGAAGAGCTGATTAACTGATCCATCGGATAAACTGTGATCAGACAGAAGAAGGTAAAGGATGTCCTGACTGAGGTGAAAAGGCCAAAACTATCTTGGGTAGAATGAAGTGCCACTACCACCACCCTGTGCAAGATCAGAAAAGGTTCTTTGTAGGACATGGATACCAGCTCAGACGCTAGTCTTGCAGAGGTGATGGCAGCAAGAATCACAAAAAGCACATTCAAAAAGTGTTTTTTTTTTAAAGGGCAAATTCAGATCCCACAGAATCACAAGGAAGTGGACAAGTGGAACCACACGGAAGACACCTTGCACAAAAGCCTTGATCAAAAATGGGAAGCCAGTGGTCTCTGAAGGAAGACTGCAAGCGTGGAGACCTAACCCTTGAGGATGATGGTCAAAATTCATGGCACCAATAATTTTCTGGGTGGTAACCACTCACACCAAGCAAAATATACCTTTTATGTGCCATGTTTCAAAGGACTTGCAGGAAGTAGATTTCCTATCTTTTAGCATTGTGGGAATTACTGCTTCAGAAAGGACGTTGTTCCTCAAAACATGGGCTTCAACAACAATGCTATTAAAGCTAGCAGCCATGAAAAGTAGGGTAGTAAATCAGTCCTTGAGACAGAAGATCAGGACAAACTTCTGCCAGGAGTCTTATCAGATCAGAGTATCATACCTGATTGGGCCAGTCCAGAGCTGTGAGGATCACAGCAATGCCCTTCATCACGATCCTGTGATACAAACAAGGAAGGAGTTTAAGGAGAGGAAAGATGTAGATCAGGGGGTACTGATCCCACAAAATTATTAGAGCATTCACTGATATCGCAAAAGAATCTCTGTACCTGGAGACAAACCTGTCCGGTTTGTAAACATGGGCCAAGAGGTCTGCACAACTGTGACAGGTCCTGAAACAGGAGCATAGGGACCACTCCCCTAGGTCCAGGAACTACCAGTTGGGAAGGTCTGCCTACCAATAGTCCAAACCTGGGATGTAAATGGTGGGGAAGGCTGGAATGTTAAGTTCTGTTCAGGATCTGCACCGCTGCTCGTCTCAGAGACTTCTGGCTGCTCCCGGGTGGTTGATGTATGCCATTGACGTGGCAGTGTCAGACTGCATCTGGTCAGATGACCCTCCAATCAGGAGATAAGTCTTTGCAGAGACAACCAAATCACCTGAAGATGAAAGCTGATTGGGAAACAGAACTTAAATGCCAAAGTCCCCTGTACCAACAAGATTTCCAGGACATCTCTTCAGCTCAACAGGCTGGCGTTCATATTGAGAATCTTTCAGAAGGTTGAAAGAAAGCACCTCCCCTACTCCAGGGCCAGATTTCTCTGGCCACCAGGCCAGGCATAATCCAATCTTCAGTGCCAGATGAATCTGTCTTTCTATGGACTGGAATAACTAATCCCATGATGACAGAATGTTGTCTTATGAGTATCTGGGTAGGAACTGGGCAATTGGAGTGCCATTTAGCCCAGGACTCTCATGCAGAACTGAAAGTCTGGCAACTTCTGGTAGAGATTGTAGCATTTGAATTTTCTCTTGGGGAAGAAAAACTCTGGCTTGAGCGGTGTCTAGGACTAGACCCAGATATTCCAAGCAATAGGTCAGTTTTAGTGTTATGTTTTTAGGGGTCAGGATCCAACGATACCGCTACAAGGTCTGGACAGTCGTGGCTACACTGCTTGCCAAAATCTGTGCTACTATTCCCTCAGCAGGAGCTCATCTACATATCCCACAATGGGAATGCCGTAAGTGCAGTAAGGCTAATACTGGGCCTGCAGATGTGCAAGATAGCCCAGATGGCATTGTCACAAACTGGACATACAATGGACCCACAGCAAAACATAGGAATCGCCAACACATTTTAAAAAGAAAAACAGAAGGAAAAGTCTCCCTGACGAAAGGAGGCTAACAGGCTTGGTGGATTCTATGTGGAACTTCTGGGCCCAAAATGAAGACATTTTGGGTCTTAAGATCGAAGATAGACTTGATGTTTCCATTTTGTTTCGGGACTGAACAGGGTGGAGTAGAACCCCTGAAACTGTTCTGACCCAGGGACAAACCCTGCTCCAGTTGACCAGTTAGGGCTACATAGAAGTCTATTGATCTGTGCAGTGACACAGGTCAGGCAGGTTGAAGTTATGAACAAGGGAGGGAAATGGGAGTGAAACTTTAGCTTGTAGCCTCTGGAAATCATCTCCCACATCCAAGCACCTAAGATGCAGGCTGTCCAAGTGTTTGCAAAGGCTAACAGACATCTCTATACTTTGGACAGTGGGTGCACAGCCTAACACTGATAAAGACACATCTGAAGGTTCAAGGGACATAGAAGACCAATGTTTACAGGTGGACTGGGTGCCAGACTTAGGCCTGGACTTGAAATTTGAAGTTGTGAAGTAACAAAAAGGAATTTTCCTGGCCTCTGTCAAAGAATGAGCCTCTCCAGACTGAGCCACAGGATCCATTAAATTGGGAAAAAAAAAAAATCAGTATTTTTGCCACTGGTGGTATCCTTTAGGAGGGCATCCACAGCAGACTATGGCCAAGAGATAACCTGCATAGTGGTCAGATCCCTTCTAATAGCTTTGACCAGTCAGTCAGATTTTGCAAGATCAAGATTATGGTTAAGACAGTTTACAGGGTAGTATCTGTCAGGGAGACTGGTGAATCTTGCACATGGATGGTAAATGCTTTGTCAAGATGGGATATTTCCAGATCCACAGAGGGGACAGCCCATTTTTTTTAAAGAAGAGCTATGCCTTCATATATTTGATGGTCAAGTCCCCTAGGGTACGAAGTGCACATACCATTTTCTCCCATTTTTGTAGGAACTGTAGAAGTGGAGATCCAGTATGTGACATTGTGCCCCAAGCTCCATCCTTCAGTTTCCTACAAAACGGCAAAGTGTCAGTTTAACAGTGAACAACAGAGGCACAGTCACAACAGTACTGTGCCTGTGCCAATAACACATGCAGATTCTGTTAACAAGCAAGGAGTGGCAGCATAAGAACGAGGCTTTCATGGATGATTTTAACTATTTGTTATGAAAGCCCCGTGTGAACACAATTGGAAGCTTTGCCTCTGATACAGTTGCCAATTCCAGCTGGTAAACAGGAAGGACGTGTGAGCAGCACAGAAAAGAGGTGCTGGGAGCGTGCCTGTGTGGTTCAGTGTTAAACTGAGAGGCCACCTGCCTTGCATTCAAAGTGATGGCACTTGTGTCAGGAAAGCGCATGGATGACATCACAAACACTTCTAATCATACTTCTGTTTCTTTGAATCGCTGTGGTCAGAAATCGGTTTGCAGAGCTTGGGGTCTGCTGCCAAATACTGGTTCTCAGCTTCTACAGCTCCTATAGGCACTTTGTACCCTAGGGAGTTGGTGCATATGGAGTGGTAGTTCTTTAACAAAATCCTCCTCAAACAGTACACTTGGGAGGTACAAACATTCTGTCAGGATGTTTCTAGTCTCCACTAGGAATACTTCAAACAGTTGGTGGACCTGAAAAGTCTTGGCAGTTTTAGGAGTGCCAAAGGATCCCAGCCTTAGGACAGTGTCAGTCAAGACTACAGGATGATCATCTAGTTTTAAAGTAGTACAAACTGCATCTATAAGAGTCAAAATAGTCTCTGTTTGGAAGCAATGGCAGACAACGGACTATGAAGATGCAGGTTTATTCATCAAGGATTGAAGATCTTCAGCATTAGACAGTCTTGGTGGCCAAAGGCTCAGGGGCTGCTAAGGACAATGGCAGATCAGGTAGAGATTCTACAAGGATGGACAAATGCTTAAGGTCTCTGTGATCAGCGTAAACAGTAGCTTATGAAATGCTGCTTGACTGCAGCGAAATCCACCCTGCACAAAGCAGAGGAGGTGGATATGACAAGGAAACTATGGAGAACTCCAAAGATGGCATAAACGATATGGCATAGAAGAGGGCAAAATTCCAGGCCGCAGGCATCAGATACATCAGTGGGCACACTGCAGGCAACGGAGCCATTAGTAGAGTTTGAGTAGGATGCACGCAGAACTGGCACCCTTGGTCTAAAATCAAGCATGATGCGCTGCAATGCTGAAAACCATATAGATAACGGCAGGAGGCAAAGCCTCAGGTACTCACAAACCTGACTGCTTGGAAGCAAGTTTAGGCAGGCCATAGAAGATGCATTTTTTTCCATTCAATTGGAGAGTTGAACAGAAAAAAAAAAAAATAATAATTTGATTACCCCATTATGTGTTCCCTGCTGTCAGAACACAATGATCCATGTTGCCGGCAGCATTAATCAGTTTAAAAAAACCTGACAGGCCGGTTCAATAAAGAGAATGCCTTCTGTAAAACCAGCCTGCCCACAGATGTATCGAAATTCAGCCAGTCCTTGCTGAACTAGCCACATTTCGATCCATCTATGGCCAGGCGGCTCTTAGAGTCAGGCGGCTGAAGATTACCAGGTTGCTGTAGGAATGGAGTTGGAAAAGACTGAGGATCAGAGTTCCACATGGCTCTTGAAAGAAGAAGCAGCAGTAGGAAGAGATTTCTTAAACATTGAATGGTTAGCAAAAGTGCAGAGCATGCACAGCACTCCATCCAACAGATGGCATCAGTTCTCAGTCCCTAAACACTAACCCCTTCTGTGGTGAAACTTAGGAAATCATGAAATTTTACAGCACTTAGGGGTCCCAACAATGCAACTACCAGGGGTAAGTCCAAACAGCCAACTCACAAGGTAAGTCTTCAGAGACAGAACAAGTGCTATGACAATGCCATGGCTCTGGACCTAAAAAGTGCTCAGTGATTAACTTTTACTGATACTTGATGTCTGGAAAGCGCTACAAGCAGAACCCAGAGCCAGGAGATCACATCCAGACTAGCCTGCAAATGTCCAGTCAAGCAGAGGAGAGATCAAACTAGATAGCTGCAACTACAGATGCGGTCTCAAGCAGCAGTGCAGCAAGAGCCTTGATTAAAAAGGGGGGGGAAAAAAAAAACCCAAAAACAATAAAAAAAGGTTAGACTTTTCAGCAGAGTTGAGGACACTAGCAAACTAAGGATTGCTGGAGGTGCAGGAACTATGTTGGGCTGGCCTACAATGTTTCTGTTTGCCAGTGTCCAGTCCTCCTGTAGGTGGGAAGTATAACCCCAACAGTACACTTTCTGTGTCCCTAAATGGATAAGAAAAAGGTTTCCTTTTGATAAACAGAGAGTACACTGCAATAGAGTAAGCACACACCTTCCTATTTTTACACTGTACTTTTCATGTACTACAGTACTCTATTTTTGATTCACAACCTACCTTCTTTAGCAAAAAGCTATTAGGTTGGCGGAAAGCACCAGGATAATAAAGAATTCTGGCTCTGTCATCTCTTGCAAAACAGACTACTGACACCTAGGCTAAATTTTGTAGCAAAATAACTTCTCTCTCTGCTTCTCAAAGAGGGACATTTATAAATACCCATAACATCTGTGGATACTTTTATATATCAATTACAAAAGAAAAAAGGGGTTAATCAAGACTTCTACAAAACATATCCAATGTATACCTATTGCAGCCTTTTTTCAAGGCAACTTAAAAACGGAAATGCAGACAGATACACAATAACATTAAACCTTTTCTCCCAACATACACTTTTATAGGGTTTTTGATTCCAGATCCACTAGATCCAAGTCCTTGACCTTCTTGCCATCCCATCTTACTCAACATCTGAAAACCCACATTGTGCTGGGTTAACTTCTTATTAGTGAACTCTAAATCTGCTGGTTTCTGTGGAGACAAAAAGGAGGATAGTGCGTCATAACGTGTAAAAATGAGTTGCAGATAAACTCTACTTTTTAGCATGTCAGTATTGCCTACAAATGATTTGTCATGATCACAGCAACTTTGTAAGGCTAGAAAAGCAATCCAATATGTTGAAGTATGACCAAACCATTTGTAAGGCTAGGTTCACACCTATGCAGTTTGCGTTTGATCCAGGTCAGAAGTGCTTTTTGTGGTGTGTTATTGCATGTGTTTTTGACGCGTTTTGCATTTGTTTTTCCAACTTGTTGCTGGGCAGATTAGAACGCAAAAAGCACCAAAAAAGTGTCAAAAACGCACTACATGCATTTCTGCAGCATCTATTAAACCAAAAATGCCACATTTTGCGTTTTAAAAAAAGTCCCTGATCCTTTCCAAAAAACGCACCACGCGGAGATGTGAACCTGACCCATAGGAAATAATGTTAAATGGACTACTGTGCGTTTCTGCAAAACGCAACCGAAAACACATAGGTCTGAACCTAGACTCAAGGATGATTGGTAAACACAGGTGTATAACAAAATTAAAGTGCCTCTAAAGCCTCAAGGTATTTTACCTTAATGCATTCTATGCATTAAAGGTTAAAAACTCTCTGCTACAGGATCACCCAGTCCCCCTTATTCTTACCTGAGCCTGATCCTATCCAGCGACGTGCACGATAGCAGCGGCTCTCGCCGCTATCTCCATCCTCTGAGTAGATTGACAGGAGCAGGAGCCAATTGCTCCCGTTGCTATCAATTCCAGTGACTAGGGAGTGGGGTGCGGGGCCAAGTCCTGCTGTCTGTAACAATGGACACAACAGCAGAGTTCAGGAACTAGCATGCACAAGTGCCCCCATGGAAAGCAGCTTCCCATGGGGGCACTGACCAGAGAAGAGGACCTTGGAATGCCACCAGGGGTGCAATTTCATTGCACAGAGCAGGTAAGTATAGAGATGTTTTGAATGGATCCTTGTGGCAGTTAAAAGTGTGAAGGAACCAATGCTAAATAAATAACGGATAAAACAGTAATGAGAATAAGACTGATCAATAAATAAATGAAAAAGTGGACAGAAATAAACACCGTCTGTTAATATTCCCATACCAACTCCTTGCCTTGCTATCCACACAACAGCTGGAGTGGGGATGCTCAAAAGCTGCAAGGACGAAAAAAAAAAAAATATAGAATATGTTGGTGCAGCCATTTTTAACTCAGACGCTAAGGGCTTGTCTACATTAGTATTGGCCCACTGAGTAATATGTTGTGGATCTGAGGTGTAATGTCACCTCCTCACTGCCCATTTAAATCCTAAAAGTCCGCACTACATTGCCACAACTCTGGGCAGCCTCATTCACTTTAATTGGCAGTGTTCAGAGCGCAGTACCGGAGCAGGGTACACTGAGGAAAATTTCCTCAACTCATCCAAATCACGGGACATCGGAAGGAGGCACCAGGAGGGTTCAGATAGTGTGTTCATGGAAGTGATTGGGCTGTCAGCTTTGCTGCTACAGATAAACATTACATCTGTTCCAGCAAAAGTGTTAAAAGGGCTTTAAAATGTGTACTTTAATGACTGAGGTAGGGACATTTAAGCTCCTCTCAGGCAGGGGACTTAGGAATATTGCCAAAAGAGCCTTGCAAAACATGTACTATTTCAATATTTTGGGTGTTTACTGTTTGCAAGCAAAACAGTTCTCCTCCCTGTCAGCTCGTGCACACTGCTTTGCATGGCTGTGCATAGAACAGCCATGTAAAGCAGTGTGCTTACAGTGAAGCACAAACACACAGCCCCTAGTAAAACAGCACACAGTTAACCCTTTGGTCACCTCAGATGTTCACTCCTTCCTGCCCAGTGTCATTAGTACAGTGTCAGTGCTTTTTATTAGCACTGATCACTGTATTGGTGTCACTGGGGATGTCAGTGACACCAAGTCAGTTCCCCTAGGGATGCTGAATTCCTATTGCCCGACGCCCATAACATGCATCGGGCAGGTAGTTTTGTTCACCTTCAGCAGGGCTCACATGCCAGGTGGAAACATTCCACAGTGACAGCCTCTCCACCCTTCCCGTGTGAAACTCCCCCCCCCCCCACTGTCTCCCGGGCTCTGATTGCCCATATGCAGGCCCAGGACCAGCTCACCGTTGGCGGCTAGAAGGAAGGGAGAAGAGCAGACATGTCCACATCCCTCCTTTTCTTGTCTTGACTGGGAAGTGACGTTATGATGTCACTTCCGGGTCCACAGAGAGATTCCCAGCAATTGAGGCCGGGAAAAAGAATGTAATGCAGTGCAATGTGCACTGCATTATATTCAGGGGAGCAGAGGGGAAACATCCAGGGTCTTTTAGACCTTGGATGTCTCAATAAAGAGAACCTGTCACCAAAAAAAACCATCACAAAGGGGACATTGTGATGAAAAAAAAAAAAAAAAAAAGTTTTTTTTTTTTTTGTAATTGTAGAAAATGAAAGTTACACCCAAGCACATAACATCCCCCCACATATATATACGAACAAACGAAAAAGCCCACGCTGGGGCGCCTACGCATGAAAACGTCAATTGCAATACACGTTACATATCGCCACGCATGCCAGAATGAGAGCAATAATTCTAGCACCAGACCTCCTCCGTAACACTATACTGATGACCTATAAGGGGCTTTAAAAGCGTCACCAAATATAGGGTACTGAAGTTTGTTGCCATTTCACGAGCGCGCACAAATTTAAGGTTTGACAAGTTGGATATTTACTCACTGCAAACTCAACTTTTATATTTTACAAAAAATAGGGTCATTTATTGCTTTTTTTTGTGCCCTAAAATTAACTAACTTGTATTTTTTACTGAAATTTTGCGGCAATATCATGCGACATAACAAAACATTTAAACTACCACTATTATATTCTCTAGGGTCTCTGATTTTAGAAATATATATCATGTTTGGGGGTTTTGTGTAATCTTCAGGCCTAAAATAATTTTTTTTTTAATCTCGTGCACAAACTGCTCTGGCAGCGAAAGAGTTAATGGATAAGCCCGGCACTCCCCTTTCCTGACAATGCACCCAATCGGTACTCATTACACTACAAGGTCTCTCTGCTCCCTGCTAGTCTCCAAGTGTGGCGCTGGAGACAGGCAGGGAGGGAGGGGAGGAGGAGATAAACAATGCAATGTTAAAAATATAAAAAATTTTAAAATCGCCATAAAACCCCTTTTGTTTTTAAAACATTCATAATATCACCTTCGATTTAAATACAGTTTTGGTTCCTTTTTTTTTTTTTTTTATCTGGACAAGTAGATTGGGACTCAGATTTAGTCCCTTGGACAAGTAGTTTTTTTTAAAAAAATTTCCACACCCGTCCCCCCAGTGTCAGAATGCCTCCGGCAATCCCGCTATAAGTCACCGATCGCCTCCATTACTAGTAAAAATAAAAAAATCCCAGTATATATACCGCCATTTGTAAACGCTATAACTTTCCCGTAAACCTATTAATTTACACACATTGGGAGTTTTTTTTTTTTTTTTTTTTTAGCAGACATGTAGCAGAATACATTTTGGCCTAAAGTTATTGCGAAATTTGATATTCTACATTTTTTACTGAACATGCTTAATAGCAAAAATTTTAAAATATTGTTTTTTTTTTTATAGCGCAAAAAATAACATCCGCACAGGCAATCAAATACCATCGAAAAAATCTATTCGTGGGAGAAAAAAAAAAAAAAAAAAAAAAAAGACGTAAATTTCATTTGGGTGCAGCGTTGCATGAAAGCGAAATTGTCAGTTAAAGTAATGCAGCGCCGTAACGCAAAAAATGGCCTGGTCAGGAAGGGGGGTAAATCCTTAGGAGGGCAAGTGGTTAAAAGTGGTTCTAAAGTCAAAAGGTTTTTTTTTTTTCCCTAACCTTAATGCATGCTATGCATTAACCACCTCAGACACTTTCACCCCCATCACCCAGGCCTTTTTTCATGTTTCAGCACGGTCACACTCAAACTTTGAATAACACATGTGACACTGTACCCAAATAACATTTTTAGCATTTTTGAGACAGATAGAGCTGTTAGTGATATTCAATCACCACGGTTTTATTTATTTTTGCTATATAAATGAAATATTTTGGATGAGGGAAAAAAAAAGAAAAAAAAAAAAAAAAAAAAAAGACAAAAATAGTTCTGTTTTTTATTCATAAATTTAGGACAAAAAAAAATGTATTAAGCTACATTTATTTGGGTAAAAAAAAAATGATATATATGCCTTGTGCAGGTCTATAATCTTTTCATGAGTTTTTTTAAAACTACTTTTTTTTTTTTTTGGAAAATGAAATTAATTTTTTTTTTTTTTTTTTTTTTTTTTACAGCATAGGCATATACCTGCAATTACACCCCAAAAACACAGGGGCATAAGTTACGCATCTAGCTTCCTGACTACCTATCACATTTTTGGAGGCCCAAAGGCCCACCAGGACAGCGGAAACACCAACAAAATGACCACATTTTAGAAAGCAGAAACACCCAAGGGTATTTTCTAAGAAGCATGTTAGGTCTTTTTGAAATTAAAATTAATGTTTTTACACAAAGTTGTCAACTTAAAGCAGTAGTAAAGTCCATAAAGAAAGAAAAGTCCACCTACAAGTTAATGTTATAATGCTTTAGCATGCACCGCACACTAGCACATTATGGCAGATTTACCTTAAAATGAAGCCCTCCAGCGGCAAGCTGTCACCACTGGCAAGGCTTCCATCTTCACTAGGTCTTCCTTCCGGGTGTATAAAGAGGTGAGCTGTGGTGACGTCACTCCCACACATGAATGCAGGAGTCATGGCATGGAGCTCTGAAGGTACAGCACGTGTAAGCTGTCCCTTCAGAGCACATGCACCGGGGACGTCACGGGCTGCATCCCGTGTGAATATCCCCTAAAAATTGCACGTTTAGGAGATAATCACAGTACCTACAGGTAAGCTTTGCCTGTAGGTACAAGTTAAAAATTGGACTTTTATACCA